TCTCATCGTATAATACAGCTACAGTATGGTTGTACTGTACGGTACCGTACACTGTACACTGTACATCTTTACAGAAAATAGTGATAATGTCATCCCTTTTGGGCTGATACTGTACAGTACTGTAGTGGAAGAGTTTATACTGTACAGTACAGCACTGTACCAGGGTCCAGGGACCAGGGACAACTAGAAAGAAGGAGGGACCCCTGATATAATTTTGTACAGTGTACAGTATGTAAAAGTTACAGTATCAATTTCAGTACTGTACTGTACCAGGGTCCAGGGACAACTAGAAAGAAGGAAGGACCCCTGATATAAATTCTCAAGGAATTCTACTGGACTGTATAGACTAATAGTCAACTATCGCCGTTTCAAATACTGATACAACGCCAAGATCAATAGTTATATCCGACTCCTACGATATTGATAGACTTTTATAGTATTTTCCTACTATTGATACTAGAAGAGTATCAACGCCATTTTTACAAATGACAAATAATGGTGTTCGATCAGTAATTTTAAACGGCGAAAGGCCACTTTTAGCAAATAATATTCCTTATAAATAAATTGTTATCATAAGACTGACACACTGCCATTGATGTGCACTAAGCCCGTAAGCCGCGAACCGGTTGCGAAATTGCTAATATTAAAATTAATTAATTTTTTGATACGGTTTACAGTGTACAGTACCAGATCTGAAATCAGTTGACGTTTAATTCACAAAACTTACTCCACCCGGCCGTGACGCAGTATTTGCAAATGCGGAAGTTGCCTGATCTGGCCTGTCATGGACTCATGGACTACCACATACAGTATTGTGCATCTAGTAGTGTGCACGAAACAAGTAATAGAGTCACTTATCCAATATTTCAAATTAAATTAATTATAATATTGTAGATGATGGTTACTGTACCCGGTGACTTGCAAGAGTAGGCAAAGTTTTCAGCTCAATACTATTTAGTGTTTAGTACTCCGGAGCTTGTGAGGAGAAGTTCATATTGTAGACATCTTCATGGTCTATAAATACTGGCATAGACTACTAGAAGTAGTAGAAGTCTTCTTCTAGCGCTATTATTCATCACCTGACTGAAGTTACCTTTACCTTTAGTGTACTGGTCTTATCATCTGACTTGCAATTTAGTGCAGTTGCAGAGTAGAATTTGTCCTGAGCGCGCTATATTGTACTGTAATTGCATCTCTTCACATCAAGTTATTTATTTATGACGCTGACCCGAACACCGTAGTTATCAAAGTACTATCACGTGTAGTACTATATGCGTAAACGGAGGCTACATCATATGCCGCTATTATTCGCAACTAAGCGTAAACGGCTTTGGCGTAATTGTAGTATTCACGACATGATGAATGTGTGTGTGTATATTACATTCTTCTATTAATTAATTTCTATATCATTCCCTAAAAATAACTACTTTCATAGTACATGATGATGTCTTATGTCTATCAGTTGACAGCTATGGGATCGTTGATGTCACTATTCAAGCGTTTAACAATTCAAAATGGATGCGGTTGCAATCAGGTAAATATTAGCTCTCTGCAGCCCTGTTTAACGCGTGTAATAACTATGTTGCAACTTGCAAGATTGTTCAGTGCTGATAATTGTCTTGATTATAGAGTGATAACCGTGAAGAAGCTACGCCTGCGACTAGCAAGTGTGAGATATATCGTCGTGCATTAGAGGAATATCTGACTCTTTTCCCTTTGTCACGTTCATTACCTACCAATTGCATTAAAATTGCTAACGAACTATACTCTGAGTCTGCGATCAAAGAAACAGATGTAGTAGAAATAAAGACGCGCTCAAAAGGACGAGAGTAAGTTAATTCAATTCCGATTGTTCATTTGCTCTATTAAAGGTGATATAATTTCAAGGATACGTTGTGACTATATGTAGATCAGAACTAAATTGTAAAGTAGAAATACAGTAATATGTGGTATGGATGTGATAGTTGCCGATTTGTATCAAGATGTGCGGTTGTAGTTGCTATATAGAGCAATACGTTCATAACCATCGATATTTGGTATTCCACTTCGCGTTAATTTCTGGAATTTGTACATTCTAAATGTTATATATAAGCAACAATAGCTAATAAGGAGGCTGTCATAAATATAATGTTGAGTTTTCTGATTTAGGCAAGTGAAGGAGCTCTTAAATATTCTCTTCGTACGAGAGATGACGTTTATAAGAATTTTACATAAGTACGATGTACCCGAAACTGCTGCTATCGAAGACAGTATAAATCATAAATGTACTCGAGGATTACTAACTACGTTGACTAAATTTTGCAAATAACTACGAATTGCATTTGATTAATCACTGGAATTTGTACATTTGTAAGAATTTTACGTAAATTCGATAATTCCTTAGCCACTGATATCGAAAAACGTATAAATTATGCACTCGAAGGAAATTCTAACTGTTATAATTGAAAGTATTTACGTAAATAAATACTGATTACATTAATTATAGCGCTACTAATAGATGTCATTATTATTTCTGTTTGACGGCTTATGTTATTTAAATAGCTGACTTTATGTTATTATTCCTAAATGAGCCTGCAATATTAGTTACTTCAGAATTAAAATATTTTATGCGCTTATTATTGTTAATATTATTATTAACATTACGAAAGACTTTGTATATCGAAATTTTACGGACAATTGCGATTTATAAAAATGTCCGTTTTAATTCACTATTTTGAGTTATAATATATTAATTATAGCTATAATTTTTCGGGAGAAGAAATCGGAATTATGATTCTTATAGCTATAGCGATGACGAGTCAATTATAAATAATATTGACTGCTGTTGCATATTGTAAATCTTAGCAATTCCGGATTAATTTCTGAAATCATAATGCTAGCATAACCGTCGTCATGGAGTATTAGTAATTGTAAAGTAGTAGACCGGATTGTCTAGGGAACTTACCGTGACACTTCAAGTGCGGTAACATTGATTCCAGGGACGAAATAAAGTAGGAATCAAGTCTTAATTAATGTTATGCCTTAGTAGTTAGTATATATGAAAATTATATTGTACTGTACGTACACTCGTACAGGCAATTGTTACAGATGTCAAAATTATGGTTGAACTCCGC